ATATATACATTGAATAGGCATAAGCGAAAAGAAATATCACGAAAATAGAAAAAGATGGTATAGTATATAAACATTTTTAAATAAATAAGAAAATAGTATAAATCATCCTGATATATTTAAAATTAAAACATACGTTTTGTATTATAAGAAAATGTTTCGATCCCCAAAAAGAGATCCCATAACAAAGTCGACTTTACATTGTGCGATTTTTATGCTATGCTATAATGTAAAGGCAGCTTTACATCTAGGCTATGCAAGTCTCATGCTATGCAAGTCCGTCTTGCATGGCACATCTCTTGCCTAGCTTGACCTTTTTACATCAGAGATATTTCTGTGCAATTTTAGATCCCACTTTCATTGTTGCCAACAGAGAAAATATTTATCAATTTGAGGTTATTTTATTTTAAATAAATATAATTAAGTACTAAAATAAATAATATAATAAATAAATATACACTATTTATGGTTATTAAAAGGGTGAAGGATGTCAACCAAAGAAAAGAAAACATTGTTATTGTTGAATATTGCTGTTGTAGCAACAATCATCCATAGTCAACGACTCACCCAGTCGTTTTTATATTAACTTTAGACATAGTATATCTATTTATCACCACTTAATAAACTTAATTTAAATCAAAACACAACAATACACACGTGGGCTAAGGGCATCGAGCAATAAGACAAAAGAGGGAATCTAATCCTTATGAAAAGGAGACCAAAAAGTGGCCTCTGATGGCGGACATATCCGGAAATGCGAATGCGCGAAATTTAAATTTCCGACACTTATCAACAGTAGCTATATAAGAATGTGTCTTAGACGAGAAAGTTTTAATTAAATATTAATGATAAGAGTCTAAAATGCGACACAATTGTTAAAAAACTTCAATATAAATAAGATTTCATGTGACATTTGGGACAAACAATAACATAACCCAACTAAATTTGATGTCAAACAAGGAGAGAGACTCTCTTTCCTTGTTTAATGTGGCCTCTAAAGATCGCACTTCCTGTCTAACAATATGTTTGCCCCCACTACTTTTACATTCCCTCTATTGTCTTTTTGCTCGATGGCTAAGGGATGCTAAAGATAGAGATAAGGTTATGTTTTATTCTGTAATCTATTATAAATTGTTATGTTGGCAACATGAATTTTAACGATAAATTGCAAGAAAATAGCATGAAAAATAGAACATGTCCTAATTTTTCGTCTAGCACAGGAATTGCATGGAAATAGCCCGTGGGCATGCGCAGTTCCAAGATCTGTCTCGCATGGCTCTTGCCTAGCATGAAAATAGCATAATGTAAAACTGTCTTAAGACAGATTATGCAGCTGCGCATGGTCACGGGATATTTCTACGCAATATCTTTGCTATAGACGTATATATTAACATATATACTTTATTATATACGTCTATGATCTGTACTAATAGACGAAAAATTAGAATGTGTTTTATTTTTCATGCTATTTTGATGCAATTTATTGTCAAAATTCATATAACAAAATTTATAGTTTAGAATAAAACTTAATTTTATTCTGTAAGTACAAATGTTATTTATTGGTTGTAATAATTTGTGATTTATATTTGAATATATTTAATTCTTGACTGAAATTTCCAAGTGAAATATCTCAAATTAATGTTTCGATATATTTCTTCTGTTGGCAACAGTGAAAGTGATATCTCAAAATTACACAAAAATAGTTGATGTAACTAGGCAAGAGATATGCAACGCAAGACGAACTTGCATAGTATGAGCTTGCATGGCCTAGATTAAGCTATCTCAAAGTCAGAAATTGATTATCTGAAACGAGGGATTTAAAAATTGAGGCTACATAAAGATTAACAAATGAGATATATCACTTTTAATAAAACCCCAAAATCACCGTGTGTCCTTAATAAGTAGATTTAGAAACTATATAAGGGAATCCAATGGTGAACTGACTTGCAGTTTTTAATACATCTACATAACATTTATTTATAAGTGTATTAAGTTTATTACGTATTATTATATAATATGAGTACATTTATACAAACCTGTGTTTTCAATATTCAGCAGAAATCTATTGTTAATCATAATTATATTTTCAGTACTATAACATTGAGAAAAACTAGACATTTTTTACATTAAAAGTACCGACGCTGTAACTGAATAACATTACAAGAAAGGATCTAGATTCATAATCAAATCACGACAACGTTCGCTTGACAGAGACAGATGACACTGGTGACAGTAGGAATGTTTTGTTCTGTGTGTGGTGACGTTTAATAAAATTGCAATTAACTTTTTTGTTCAATTTTTTATTTAAATCGTACAGAAACTCTGGATTAATATATGTTTTTAAGTAAAATAAATACTGTGGTTATGATTATGCTAAAAAATAGCTTCATATTTTATCTTAATTTGTGGGAAAAGAGTGTCCTACTTTTTCATTTAACAGTTTACAATTTGCTTGTCAATAAAATCAAATAGAAACTAGAAATTGTTGAATCTATAGTGCATAACATTATCTCACAGCTTAAGTTTCCATACTAACAGTAAGTAGTATTACTATATAACATTACTATTAATATATAACATTTCTTTTGTACATTGCTGTTTCTTCCATATTTGCTTTTTTTCCACTGATAAGTGATAAATTAATAATACTGTTAGTAAGTAGAGCCAAATGTGGATTATGCCTCCTGGGGACACCACATTAAAAAAAGTGCGCCTAGTACTCTACCTCATGGGTGGTGTGGAAAAGAGTACATTTTTTTGTTCAAAACATTTATATTCAAACCTATAACTTGATTTTAAAAATGTAAGGTCCACACACAAACAAAAATGGGTTTAATTGCATGTTTCTAATGTTTTCTTTTCAGAATATTTGTATGTTCTAGATAAATTTGACAGTTCCACATCTCCAAAGGTAATTATCGTCCAAACTGACTTATTTACTATATATTTTAATTGCTTGTTTCTGTCTGTTATGTAGTGCAATGAAAATTTTGCTAGCAAAACTTCCAAGGCCTGGATAGTAGATGAGAAGAAGGACGATGGATACACTGCTCTCCACTTAGCTGCTTTAAACAACCATGTGGAAGTAGCTGAACAGTTAGTGTTGAATGGAAAAGCCAATATGGATCTACAGAATGTTAACTTGCAGACTGCGCTTCATCTTGCTGTGGAAAGACAACACACTCAAATTGTCAGGGTAAGTTGAGCTATTCCTTAGATTACCTTATTTCCAATCTGTATATCTTAGGTCCTGTCCATTAATTTTTTTTTGTACTTTTTACCAGATTCTCCAGTTTTTTTTATTGATTTTCCTTTTTCCTATTTTTTTTTAATGTATTCAACAGCATTGTGTTCAGAGTTTTGTAACTAAGTTTTTTTTTAAATTACAGCAAATTAACATTTACAGTAGTTTTTTTTTTCGCTGAGCAAAATTATTAATTTTAGCTGTTGGTGAGGGAAGGAGCTAATTTGAATGTGGCTGACAAAGATGGGGACACTCCTCTACATGAAGCCTTACGTCACCACACTCTTTCGCAACTACGTCAGCTACAAGATGTCCAGGATGTGGGGAAACTGCTTATGGGCCTGGGAACACAAGGATCAGACAAAAAGTCATCAGCAAGCATAGCTTGTTTCTTGGCAGGTAAGAGTTTGGGTTGTTTTGTTGTTATTGGTTGGATTGTTATTGTTATTAATGGAAATTGTTGTTTTAAAAAATTTATTTATACTTATATTCTGTTCTAAATGTGAATAAAATCTTTCTTTAACCAGTTTGGACAGTTTTCAGTAGTATTTGCTTTTACTATGAAAAGAATTGTTGCTTTTAGTATATTTTTGACAATTGCAATAGAAATTCCTTATAATCTGAGTTTTTTTATTATTTTTTAAACTTTTTTTCCTATTTTCTGGCCCGTATGAGGCTTAAAAGTAAAACTCTACAAAACAATAATACTCCCAGTCCTAACATATAGTTCAGAAACCTGGACTTTAACAAAAAGCAATGAAAACATGTTAGAATGTTTCGAAAGAAAAATACTAAGGCGAATCTATGGAAAGGTAAATGAAAATGGTGTCTGGAGAAGATGATACAACTTCAAACTCTATTGGCGATGTCAACAAACTATAGGGGGCGCTTTGACAGATGATCAGCTGATCACGCACTTAAGAAAACAAAACAGAGCTACCATAATCTTTGTAGGTGAATGATTGTCGTGTCTAAAAATTATCTGTATTTATTATCTTCCTCAAGTTCCTTATTGATTTTTCTTTCGTATTTTCCTTTAAGAAGGCATTGAGAGGGAATAACACTGTTCTTTGAAAGTTTCTTTTGCCCTGCTGCAGTTGTAATAGAAATTTTAATAAGATCTATGTTAGTGTATATATTTGATTAGGTTAGGTAGGGACATTGAATTCTGTTCAGCAAATTTACTTGAAAAAAATCTGTTGATAAAAAATGTTATGAACGCACGATCATATCACTTGATATCAATTTCCCAATTTTTAATTCCTGTGCCCAACGATCTTGAAAATTTTTGTCATGAGGAAAAAAGTTCATAGTTATTCCTTCCGTTGGATAATTACTACATTTCCGTGCAGAACAATACTGTTTACATTTACTTTTTAACATTTTGTTACCTTATTGTGCTTTATTTAATAATATTTAAAATGTTTATAACTATGTTATGTGTGTATAACTAAATAAAAAATGTTTTGTTATCCTATGTGCACTAGTTTCAATTTTTACCACACCGTGCTGCCTCTTTCGTTTGACATCGCCAATAGAATATACCAGGAACCACATATCATAAAACACATTAAGATAGGACGTCTGAGGTGGGTAGTCCATGTAATGCTTATGGAGCAAACCGACCCAGCTAGAAAAATGCTCCTTGATAGACCTATTGGTCAAAGAAGAAGAAGAAGACCCAGAACAAGATTCCTAGATAACATAGACCAAGATATGAGAAATATGGAAATACGTGCTTGGCGGAGGAAGGCGATGGATAGGGACGACTGGAAGAGAATTCTTGGGGAGGCTAGGACCCACACAGGGTTGTAAAGCCAAAATAATGATGATGATGAACTGTGTCAAGGTCACAAGCTTATTTTGTTTTCTTCCACATTTTCAATGTAAATATGTAATTGTAAAAATGGTTTTTGGTGCATACCGAAAATTTGAAATCCTTTTTTTATCTTTTCATCAAGTTTTCAATACTTAATTATTATCATATACTTCCAAAAGGTAATGGAGCTGATCTAACCATAAAGAACAAAAAAGGACAAACACCCTTGGACTTGTGCCCGGATCCCAACCTCTGCAAGACTCTGACCAAATGCCACAAAGAGAAACAGAGCGGCGAAATGGACATGGGTTCCCACCAGAACACTCAAAACTCCAACAGTAACTCGACGTTAGAAGAGTGCTTGGTTTGTTCAGATGCCAAGAGGGACATTCTATTCCAGCCTTGCAGTCACGTCACTTGTTGCTCGGCGTGTGCACCTAGAGTTAAGAAATGTCTCATTTGTAGAGAATCTGTCGTCACTAGAACTAAGGTAAGTGAATCATTTAGTCAAAAGTCTTTCCTACTTTAAATATGCCACTTTTTCTAATCTTAAAAATGAAAATCTGTGTGAAACATCTCAAATTCAAACAAATTCAAACAACCATATCTTTCATTTTCAGATTGAAGAATGTTTAGTGTGTTCTGACAAGAAATCATCAGTCCTGTTCAAACCTTGCAGCCATATGTGCGCATGTGAAAGCTGCTCGCAGATAATGAAGAAGTGTGTGACATGCAGAGCACAAATCGAACAAATGGTACCGATAGCTGTATGTGCAGGAGGTCTGGGTACTATTTCCGAAGTAGAGGCTGATGTTGAAGAAGAAAGCAAACCGTCAACGAGTGAAATTCCGGTGATACAAGGGCCTATAATGAACAATGGAGGACGGGATACCATTGGTACTAATGATATACAGAAATTGCAACAACAGTTACAAGACATTAAGGAACAGGTAAGCGATGTATAACATTATTGATTACAAAACAACTTATATATCCAAGATTTGGTGTGAAATGTTTTATATATATAATGGCTATACACCCCAGCGTGGGGTTAAACCGCAAATGCTTTCTAGATCCTATTTCTTAAGTGGATCAGTCTTTTTTTTGTTTATCTTATCTTCTTGACAATATCTCTCCATTTTTTCCTGTCTCTAGTTTTTCCTCTCCATTCACTGACTCCTGCCCTTTGGAGGTCTTCTTCAACTTCTTGCAGCCACTTTGATCTCGGTCTTCCCCTTCTCTTTCTTCCTCCTGGATTCCATTCTATCATTGCGTATGTCACTGCCTCATCGCCTGCTCGCCAAATGTGACCTAACCATCTAACTCTGCATTGCTTTATTTTAGTTACGATGTCTTCCTTAAGTTCTTCCTTAATTTCTGCATTTGTTCTGCTTCTATATTCATTTTGCTCTGTTCTGATTGGTCCTAGTATGGTTCTCATAATCTTTCTCTCTGCAATTCTTAAGTCTTCTTCATCTTTTTTAACCATCGTCATTGTTTCCCCTGCATATAATAATATTGGTCTAATTATGGTGTTATAAATGCTCATCTTGCTTTTTTTAGTCAGTGTTTTGCTTTTAAGTAATCTTTTGTTTGCAAAATAAGCTTTATTCGCTGCTAATATTTTTTCTTTTATTTCGGATTTCCTTTCTCCGGATTTACTTATTGTAACTCCTAGGTATTTGAAGTATTCTACTTCTTCAAACTCGGAACTTCCTATTTTGATCTTTTCCTTTATTGGTTTTTTCCCTAATCTTAATATTTTTGTCTTTTCTTGATTTAATCTTAGCCCCATTACCTCCCCTTTCTCTCTTATTTCTTCAAGCATTTCTTTCATTATTTTTCTGTTCTTTGCAATAATAGCAATATCATCTGCATATGCAATTATTTGACCACCTCTTGTTCTGAGATTTCCTTTATTTATATTTCGCAGTACATATTCTAATGCTAGATTAAATAGCGTTGTTGATAAGGCATCTCCTTGTTTCATCCCTTTATTTATACTGAATTCCTCTGTCTCTCCTCTTTGTGTCTTTATGCTTATTTTTGTAGTTCTCATTGTCATTTCTATTAATTTTCTGAGTTTATGTGGAATTTTTAATTTTTTAAGTGCTGTCATTAATACGTTCCTTTTAATAGAATCAAATGCCTGTTTGAAGTCTATGAATAACATTTCCAGTTCTAATTTATACTCGTTTGCTTTTTCCATTATTTGTTTTATTGTGTGTATTGCATCTATTGTAGATCTTCCTTCTGTGAATCCACATTGGTACTGTCCTACTGTCTTCTTTGTGATCTTTGATAACCTCTTTTTTATTATTGATGTCAATATTTTATATGTTGTATTTAGTAATGTTATTCCTCTATAATTTTCACAGATTTGTTGGTCTCCCTTTTTATGTACTGTTATGATCTGTCCTACCTCCCAGTCACCTGGCATTTTCTCTTCTTTCCATATATTTTTCAATAGTGCCAGTATTTTTCCTCTTAGTTCCCTTCCCCGTATTTTATTAGTTCCATATTAATTCCATCTTTACCTGGGGCTTTTCCATTTTTGCTTCTCTGTATAACTTCATCCAATTCCTCTAATGTTGGTTCTTTTGAAATTTCGATGTCTACTTCATTTGCTTCTTCTTCGTGTACTGTTTCCTCCTCGTCATGCATTTCTTCTTCTGTTGTTTCCTCCGTCAAGAGCTCTCTGTAGTAATCTCTCCATACTTGCTTGTATTCTTGGTCCTCTATTATCACTATTCCCTCTCTATTTTTTATTCCGTTTGTTTTGCCCTTGTATTTTTTGTTTTGTTCTTTAATCTTTTTGTAAAAACTTTTCGTATTTCTGTTTGTTCTTTCCTGCTCTATTTCCTGCATTTTTTTTGTCTACCCATCTTCTTTTATTTTGCCTTATCACTTTCTTAGCATCCCTTCTTAATTTTTCATATTCTTCTCTGTCTTCCTCTTTATCTGTTCTTAGCCATTTATTTCTGGCTTGCACTTTTTTTCCTGTTATTTCTCTACATTCTTGGTTATACCATTCGTTTTTTGTTTTAGCCTGACTTTTACCTATCTGCATATTTGCACCTTCTTCTATTGATTTTTTGATCGTCTCCCATTCTGTGCTTATATCTTCTGCTTTATATTTCTCTTTTATTTGAACTGTTACTGCCTCTTCATATTTTTTTCTTACTTCTTCATTACTCAATTTATTGACATTCCACTTTTTATGTTGGTTTTTTTGTTTTGTTTCAATTTTAACTTTTTGTCTTATAATGGCTGTGACCATGTAGTGGTCTGAATCTGCACACGCACCTCTGAACGTTCTTACATCTTTTATTGACGATTGTTTTCGCTTATTAATCATTATGTGATCAATTTGACTATATGTTTTCTGATCCGGTGACCTCCATGTTACCTTATGTATTTTAGGGTGTTCAAATTTTGTCGAGCTTATTAACAAATTTGCTCTTGTTGCTAGGTTACATAGTCTTTGTCCATTGTCATTCGTGTTTTCGTGTATTGTATGCTTTCCTGCAATTTGCTGTAAAAAGTCCTCTTTTCCAATCTGGGCGTTGAGGTCTCCCAGTACAAATATGACATCTTCTTTGGGTATTTTTTCTATCTCCTCTTCGACCTTATCATAAAAGATTTCTTTTTCGTCTGCATTGCTTGTTTCTGTGGGGGCATATAAATTCAAGACTGATATATTAAATGGTTTGCTGTTGACTCTAACATAGGCCATCCTTTCGCATATTGGCTTGAAATTTATAATTTTCTCTCTTAGGTGACTAAGTATCATGAATCCCACGCCTTTTTGCCCTTGCTTCTTTCCTCCTGAATATAACATTGTAAAGTCTTGTTTATCAATCTGTCCCTGTCCCTCCCAGCGTAATTCTTGCAGTGCTGCAATATATATTTTATACTTTTTGAGTTCCTTTCCTATTTCTAGCATTTTTCCTGGAGTTAGCATAGTTCTTATGTTCCATGTGCTTATTTTCAACTCTTTATTTTTTTTTGTTCTGTTGTCTTCGTCCTTTATTTTTGTTTTCTTGTCCATTTTTCTTTATTTCACTTTTGTTGTGCCCGGGTTTATCTGCAGTTATTTCCTGTTTCTTTGCCTCGTCCGTCAACGAATAATGTATCCTCTCATCCCTTGCTAGTTTTTTGAACCACCTCCATGATGGTCCTCCAGCTGGTTGGTGTTTCTATTCCATCTCCTTTCTAGACCATCTATTATAATTTTGTTGGCTTTAATTTGGACACGTTTACCTTTATTTATTTCATCTTTTGCTATTCTTCGTATTTCCTTCTGTATTTGTAATTCCTCTGTCGTTAGATCATTGTTTATATATATATTTTTTCTTTTTTCACTTCTTTTAGTCAAAAGTTTACTTTTGTTTTCCATAATTTTTGTTTTTTCTTCTTTGTTTGGCAATCTGACTAAACATGTTTTATCTCCTAGTTTCACTGCTTCATCTATATTTACGGTAATATTTAGCTCTTTTGTCATAAAATTTTCTATCACTTCTTTTAGTATTCTTCTATCTCCAGTTTCTATTGTCATTCCCTGTATTATCACATTATTTTCTTTTCTTATTCTATCCAGCCTTCCAAGGCGTCCTTTTGTCTCATTCAGATCTTTTTTGATTTGTTCATTTTCTTTCCAGATCTCACTATTCTCTTGTTTTAGTTCTGCTAGTTCAGTTTTGAGTTCCCTCATTTCTTCTCTGTATTGTTTTTGTTCCGTTTTTACTTTTTACTTACTTTTTTATTTTTTTTTACTTATGTTTTTACTTTTATATCAGTTTTTAATTCTTGTAACTCTATTGTTAAATTTTTTATCATATTTAGTATTTGATCTATTTTGTTTTCATTTTTGTGACTTTTAATTGGGCTTCTTTGTACTTTTTTACTGGGACCAAATAACAGTTCCTCTTCTTCTCTATTTCTTTTCCGATTGTCATCGGATGTATTATCATCTGAATCCATATTTCTGCTGCTACTACTTGCGATATAGCCAACCTCCCCACTCAACGCGTCGAAGGAAGATAGTTCTCTCAAGTAGTAGCTTGTAGTAATTTATTTTCTCGTTTTCTTCCTGGATAAATTAATTTTCAATTAAAATAATTGTCAGTTACTTTGGAACGGTTTGATGTGGCAACGCCCACCTCTAGCTTTTAAAACTGATATATAGTGTTAATTACCTGGGCCGGTTTTGTTTTTAGTTTTTTGTGTTGAGAGTAAATAAAATTTCCTTCGCCTTCCTAAATTTATCGAGGTTATGCACTTACCTCTCTTCCAATGTCTTTGCTATAATTACCCTTAACACTTTTATTCTTGTATTACACACTGCACGCAAAATCAGCAAAATTATCGACTCACAATAATCAAAAATTGAAATTATTATGGAGCAGAATTTACACACATCTATTCCTTACACTAGAGATCAATTGTATCTACTAGCGAAATGTTACTAAAACTATATTTTTCCCATAATTACTTTAATAGTACACCTTTATTTTCAGACGATGTGCCCAGTTTGTCTCGACAGACTTAAGAATATGATCTTTTTGTGTGGACATGGACTCTGCCAGATGTGCGGCGATCAAATGACTGAATGTCCAATCTGCAGAAAGGCGGTGGAGAAGAGGATACTGCTTTATTGAGTAAAAATGTTGTTAACTTAGCTAGAAAGATAAAAAATATGGTTTTATTATAGTATTTCCATTTTGTGAATGTTTTCTCTGAAATATTTGATAAGTCAAGTGACTAGTTCTCAATTTCCGTTATCGAATATACATACAGTTCCTATTCTGATGTAATGAGATAATTATGTGGCATACAGTATTCATAGAATTCCATGACTACGTTATTTTCAATACTGAAGGCAACCAACATCTCAAATGCTATATATTTGTATTTTTTACGTTTTCCATGTTCTTTATTGCTCTCTTTCGTTATAATAGTAATTATAAATCTGATGCAACTTATATTCTATGTACAATTTACAACATTTCACATTTTTATACCATATTAGAAGTCCGACCTTCAGTCACTTGATCAAATACTATTGTCCAACTCGAACTTTAGCATTGTTAACCAATTTTCGTTGTATTATTTTAAAAATGTGATCATATTTAATGTTTCTAGTTGTTCATAATATGTTATCTATGAAATTATTTTTAAAATATTGGATTCACCTGTAATTTTTATTACTATATACCCAAATGATACAAATGTTATTAATAGTTGTTTGTATTAATATATTATTTACTCATGAGTTTTATTTTTCCTCTTAAAATTTTTTAAACCCAATTTTAAGAAACTCTAGAGAAGCTGTAGTTATAATGAGAAGTTGGATTTACAACCTGGTGGACTAGTGTCTAGAGCCTGACCCACTATTCTGTGCAGACTTGCGCAGTTAATTTGTATCTACAATGAGGTTTATGCGTATTGTTGGTTGCGAACATTTTTTTCATAAATTTATGTAATTACTTCAATCTATCTATTTAACCCGTTTGATAAATTTAATAATATTTAAATTATAAGAATAACTCTAAAATTAATAGTACATAATAGCAAATCAAAATTAAAGATTTTTTAAAATAGTTTTAAAAAATACTTTTTGCGCATTTTTTCCAATAAAAATTTGTTATTTTATATACAGGATGTTGACTGATGTTATATATCAATTACTATGATACCAACTTTCTTATTTTAAATGAAACATTGGTTATATTATAAAATTTTTGGATTCTGCACAAAATTTCCAGAACTTTGATATATTGCATGTTATAGTTTTAATTAACTTATTTTAGGATACAGGGTGGTTAATGAATAGATCACTCTCTGTGTGTCTCCTTATGACTTTAAAAGGTTCTATACCTAATTTCAATAAAGAAGAGTGAGTTCATTTTCGTATCTCAACTTGTTTTTAATAATGTATATAGTACTCTAAGATATGTACCTATATTCTTTTAAAATAGATATTATGTCAAATAAATGAAACCTGCCTATATTTTTACCAGGTGTGTAAAATGGAATGTACATAAGTAGGTATCTTAAAGGCTCTATATTTAAAAGTTAATATAGAAGGGATTGTGCCTTTAATACATTGTATATTAAAAACAGTTAAATAAAAGCATGGCAATCCAATATATTAAAGTTCTTTGAATTTTGTATTGGATCCAATAACTAAATAATATACCTGGTGTTCCATCTAAAATAATAAAGTTGGCATCAGTATTTATGATGACATCTCACTCTGTATAACATATTTTTATTGAAAACATATGCGCAATAAAAAATATTAAAAAAAAACTAGAGCTTTTCGATTAACTATTCATCATTTAATAAATATTTTTTATATAACTGTGATGAATAATGTATTTACATTATGAAACATGTACTTCAGTAAACTGTTACAAGAAGACCGAATGGAATTCAAAATAAAAGAAAGTAACCAAAACATACGCGTTGAAGCATCTCCTATAAGAATCACGAAAAAGGAAGTAAGGGATATCTGTATTTCACTCAAAAAAAAAAAGCGCCCGGACCTGGCAATATACCCTCAGAACTGATAAAATATGGAACTGAAAAACTATATGAGCATTTGACAATACTCTTTCAAAACTGCATAAACAAAGTAGAGGTTCCAGCCGAATTTAAAACCTCAACCATTTCAACTGTACATAAAAAGGGAAACAAACAAAATTGCGACAATTACCGTGGAATAGCAGTTACTAGTACCATTAGTAAAATCTATGGGAAAATGATCAAAAATAGAATAGAAAGAGAATACACTGATATGGAGGCAGAAGAACAGGCGGGTTTTAGAGCTGGTAGATCGACCATAGACCACCTTTTTTGTATCACCCAACTTATAGAAAAAAAGGTTGCTGTAGATCAAGAAGTCCACTTTTTGTTTGTTGATCTAAAAAAGGCCTACGATAGCATCCCTCAAAATAAGTTATGGAACACTCTCAGACAAACGAACATCAACTCAAATCTCATAACAGCAGTGGAAAAACTATATGAGAACGCCAACGCCAAAGTTAAAATAGGAACGAATGTTTCCAAAGGTTTTGTAGTAGACAAAGGACTGAAGCAGGGATGCTGCTTAGCGCCGACACTTTTCAAAATATATCTGGAACAAGCATTAAAACTCTGGAAGCGGAAATGCAGCGGCATGGGTATACAATTAAACAATAACAACCTGTACACTCTATGTTTTGCTGATGATCAAATTGTGATTGCTAACGAATATGACGACCTAGAATACATGACTCGAAAATTAATCGAAGAATACAAAAAATGGGGATTAGAAGTCAACATAGATAAAACAATGTACATGAACATCGGTGGTAAAGAACAAAATCTAGTTTTAAACGACGGACAACACATTAAGTACAACAATAAATATTCCTATTTAGGAGTAGAAATCACAGACGACGGCAAATCAGATCAGGCTATAAAAAAACGAAACACTCAGGGTAGAAGGGCCATATCTCAACTAAATAGTATTATCTGGGATCAACATATATCCAAAAAAAATAAACATCGAATATACAACACTATTATAAAGAGCATAGTAATGTATGGAAGTGACGTGTGGCAGTTAAAGGCAACTACTGAAAGAACACTACAAGCCACGGAGATGGACTACTGGAGACGGGCCGCAGGAAAATCAAAACTCGAAAGAATTAATAACGAACGTATACGAGAGGTTATGGGAGAGATTATATAATATATATATATATATATATTATATATATATATATATATATATATATATATATATATATGAATAATGTATTTTGAAATGGGGAAATTATTAATTTATAGATATTATAAAGAAAAGGTCTCTAAAACGTTTTTGAGCAAGCCAAAAAAATCACATTATAAGGCATGAATGAATCAAATATGTAGCACCTTTTTTGTAGATGTATTATTCAAAAACAAACTGAAAAGTTATTACTATAAAGAGGGATCTGTATAGCAGTGGCTATGCTGGACTTAAATAAAACAACGATTAGATATAAAAAAAATCACAAATTTTATTAAAATTATCTATATTTTTTAAATGTTAATATAATTTGGTACATACATTGTTTTGTATATGTAATATTAATTAATTTTTATATAAATAAATAGTCTATTTACAAATGTACTTACTACTACTACAAATGTACTGACACTTATTTTCTCTAACAATGATTCTATAACAACATTTTTGGGCTCTGCTTAAATTCATTATTAGCTAATATATTGATGGAAGACTTCAAAACAAACATTTCTAATCAAAATTTAAAGCCCACAATATGTTGGAGATATGTAGATGTGTTGGACACAATTCTGATTAATGTAAATAAAAGGTAAGAGGTGTAAGGTAAGGAGTCAATGAAATTTACAATGGAAAAGGAATATAATAACTCGTTACCTTTTCTGGATGTTTTAATCTCAAAGGAAAATAGTGGATATGGGACTCATGTATACAAAAAACCAACACATACGAACGGATATCTAAAGTATAAATCAAATCACAACATAAATCGTCTGTGTCGTTCTAATACCTCGTAACCCACAAAAATTGGAAAATGCGTTTTTTACATATTAGTATAATGTAAAGCTAAACTCGCCTGTACAAAAAACCTTGTAAGCCATACTTTATTATTTATATTATTAAATGTGTTTTCTAATAGCTCGTATTCCCATTGCTGAGAGTATGAATAGCAATACCCCGTAACCCACCTTTTTAAAAATCTCGTAACCCAAACATGACACCTAATTCACATTTAAGGTCGATTCAGACATATCAGTCACGTCTCGTCACAGTGATGGCACCGAACCGAACAATCCGTCATACAAAATATTCTTTAATACAAATATGGCGCCAGCATTCACACCAATGACGTATAATATATAGACTACGCGGTCCCCTATTCTCGCTATAGAATCGAAGTGTCCGAAAGATCTCCGCTCAAGGTTGAAGGTATGTTTATCATAACAGCGGCGTGCTCATTTATATGTTAATGACAATAATTATTTTTTTAATTAAAATTAAATATTTATGATTTCTTTTTGTTCCCGTCTATAAGAGAAATAATTATTTTGATAAAATAGTATGGCATTTTACTAAAATAGTAAGTAAATAACTCTCAACAATTTAAAATAAAATTTGCTTGTCACACAAAATGGAGAAAATGTTTTCATACGTCCATGATGTTTTCAAACACAAGATCAACTTCGTGATGCTTCGTAAGAAATCATGAACTTCGTGCATCTTCGTATCAAAACAATAAACAATAACAAAGGTATTCATGTTTTGGACACTTTTTAAAGCGTTCACCGAGTCTATATATTATACGTCATTGATTCACACTCATCAGTTGACAAACAGTTTGCCAGCTGTCAGATAGTTGATAGTTCTGTGACCAAACAGGACCGGTTCGGTGCCGTGACGATGACGTGACTGATGTGTCTGAATCGACCTTAAGTATTTCGGTTCTGTGGCTTACGAGATATTAGCGTACAGTCATTCGCTCAACTGTTAGTTAGTTAACCTATAAATTGTGATTATCTTTTAGTGTACATGCATAGGTGCATCATTACGATTTGTTGTTTTGTTTTTAATATAAAAATATAAATATACTGTTGATTATAGTTTTACAAAAATGTGTTCACGGGGCCGTAAGTTAGTTGACCTTGCTTTAATAGACACAGATACTGGTTTAGGTAAGTAATACTTTAAGTGTTGTTAGTATTTAGTACTCCGTTGTCTTTCTAATTAATTTTACTTATTAATTGCATGCGGCAGCTAAAATGTGTTAACTTTAGTATTTATTTATATTGTAGATATTCGTTCGGAGTCAACACATAGTCTTTCAGACACAATTAGCAAGTCAGCGTGTAATGAGGAGGTTGGAGACAATTGCTTGGTAGAAAATTTGATAAACTCTTCTCAAAAAGGTAGGAATGCAGTATTTAAGCTGAAAAATTGCTGCTATATAAGTATTTAAAGGGAACGTCATTGTTTATTTTTATAAATTTTTTAGTTGCTAACCATGATTCAACTAATAACGCCATTACTATTGATGTTGCTATCGACACTGTTCAACAGGTTGAACTCCCAATGTGTGATGAACATAATATTGTTTTGGAACAAGGTAAGAACATACGACATAGAAGAATAAATTTACGACTTAAGACTAGGTAGAAGCTTTTACCTATTGTTATTTTTTTTTCTTTTTAGTTGTGATGCATGACTTCCGTAATGAGTCAGAAGGCACTACTACTATTGATATTAATAATATACCAGTAATAATTGAAACACCTCTGTTTAGTGAAGTTTGTCGAGACGTTGATGATTTTCAAATTGAAATTATTACAGACCCTACTCCTATTACAGCCTCTCTCGAACATACTCTTTCGGATAATCACGAACATCTAACGCAGCTACATATTCAGAAAGAAGCAACTACAGTGTTAAGAAAACGAAACCGTAAACGGAAGCCTGAGAGCTGGGCTAAAAATCATAACAAACAACTCAGAATGGAAGGTAAGGCTTATATCGGTTACCGAAATGTTCTCGGCAAAGTAACAAATGATGCTAAAAGAAAAGAAAGACAAATTGGACCAACTTGTACTTCCAAAGAATGTTTAAGAGTTAAATCAAAGCAATGTTCGCAAATAACACAAGAGCAGCGCGTAGAAGTTTTTAAAGCATTTTGGAATACCATGAATTGGGAGCAACGAAAAGTTTATGTTGTTAACCATGTAATGAGTGTACCCCGGAAACGAGTATATACCCAACGTGAATTGAGTCGCAGGCATACCACATTAAATTACTATTTAAGTATCAATAACTCCAAAGTACAAGTGTGCAAAAAGATGTTTTTACAATCATTAGATTTAGGTGAATACTGCGTTATGGATTGGGTAAAGAAAGGTAAGCATGGAATGAGCGATTCGAATAAACAAATTGAAGAGACATTGCCCAATAAACAGGTACAAACTGGAAGCAAGCTATTTATGACTGAATTTTTTAATAGCTTACCCAAACTTCCATCACACTATGGAAGAGCCAATTCCTCGAAACTTTACCTGGAAGACGTGTTTCGTAATATACAACATCTTTACGAAGTATACAAGACCAAATGCTTAGAAGAAAAACAACAACCGATGTCGCGAAGTGTCTTTAGTGACACATTTCATTTAATGAATTTGTCAATTCATCCAATTAAGAAGGATAAATGTGACGTTTGTGTAAAGTATGAAGTTGGTCAGCTTGCAGAAGATGACTACCAACTTCATATACTAAAAAAGGATAGAGCAAGAGAGGAAAAGCAGAAAGATAAAGAATCTGGTGTATGCGTATTGGCAATGGATTTAGAAGCCATTAAAGTCTGCCCGTTTGTTACAGCTAGTGCAATTTTTTATAAAACAAAATTATCATGCCACAACTTTACTGTGTATGATTTAGTTAGTCATCATAGTACTTGTTTTTGGTTTACAGAGGTCGAAGCAGATATGACTGCTTCTACTTTCACAACTTGTATAATACAGTATTTGTCCAAGCACTGTCATAATGTAAAGGGTAGCTTGATAATTTACAGCGACGGATGCACGTACCAGAACCGAAATGTGGTGTTGTCAAACGCACTCTTGCAATATTCCGTGGAAAAACGGATTGTAATTATGCAGAAGTATTTAGAGGTAGGTCACACGCAAATGGAATGTGACTCGGTCCATAGTTGTATCGAAAGGCAGTTAAAGGGACGTGACATTCATTTGCCAAGCGATTTTATACGAGAAACTAAACGAGCAAGAAAGAATCCATTTCCATATGAAGTCAAACAAATGCAGTATACCGATTTTCTTGATTACACTTCAAAGAAGAATCATCGATACTCATCAATTAGACCTGGAAAAGTGAGTACCTACCTACTACGTTGTGATAAATAATATGTAAACATTTCTAAAACTATTATTATTATTATTTGATAATTCTTACTTTTAGACAGCAGGCGATCCTACAGTAAATGATATACGAGCCTTAAAGTATGTTCCAGAAGGAACTATTTACTATAAATTAAACTTTGACGATGACTGGAGTTTGCTACCTCAAAGACCAAAACTTGTTAAGTTACCGGTTGTTTGGCCTCAAATGAACAAAGAGAGAAGGAAAATAAAATATGAAAAATATTGTCATCTTCAACAACTGAAAGAAGTAATTCCAGTAGACTGCCATACATTTTATGATACGTTACCTCATTTTGATAAATAATGTTAAGTTTGTTCACATTGTATTTCTCTTTGTCAGTTTGCATAAAATATATTTTTATTAATAAAAGCAATAAAGTATTTATCGTTTCAAATTCCGTAAAATAGGATGGCTAAACGTAATCTAATTATAGGAAATTGTAATAGAACCAATGTAGGAAAATACCTTGTAAGCCACATTTTTTAAAACATCGTGAAAACGATTTACTCGTAACCCACATTAAAAGGCTAAAAACTAAAAAATTAGTAAAATTCTTTTTTAAGATATGTAAGGTAGTTTTAAAAACAAATGAAAATGTAAAAAAATCAATCGTCAACCATTCCACAAAAATTAAAAACGGTTTTTCTTGTCTCCTGAACAATCGCGATTTTGGGGTTACGAGGTATTAGAAAGACACAGACGAAATGTTAAAAAGGGACTCATTAAATCATTATATGATAGAGCTAAAATTGTCTGTTCTAATGAAAATTCGTTTTTGAAAGAAAAATAATTATTAACATCTATTTTAGTAAAAATGATTATCCGATGTCGTTTAAAAGTAAGGAATTTTCCAGAATAAAGGAAATGGAACAAAATAACAGAAAGGAATCCTGCTACGTTCACACGACAAAATTCGAGGAAAATAACAATACCATATATAAAAGGATTATCAGAAAAACTTAAAAGGATAGAAAGTAAATTCAATGTTTCAACAATATTTAAAACAACAAACACATTGAGATCTATCTTATCCAAAACCAAGCCTAACAATAAACAAAAAAGTTTACATTACATACATATCACGAATTTGTGATTTTTTTCTATCTAATCTTTGTTTTATTTAAGTCCAGCATAGCCACAGCTATACAGATCCTTCTTTATAAAAATAACTTTTCAGTTTGTTTTTGAATATTACATCTACAAAAAAGGTGCTACATATTTGATTCATTCATGCCTTATAATGTGATTTTTTTGACTTGCTCAAAAACGTTTTAGAGACCTTTTCTTTGTAATATCTATAAATGAATAATTTCCCCGTAAATTTGGTATCATAGTAATTGATATATATCATCAGTCAACATTCTGTATATAAAATAACAAATTTTTATTGGAAAAAATTCTCAAAAAATATTTTTTTAAATATTTTTTAAAACTATTTTACAAAACCTTTAATTTTGATTTGCTATTATTTACTATTCATTTTAGGGTTATTCTTATAATTTAAACACTATTAAATTTATCAAACGGATTAAATAGATGGATTGAAGTAATTATATTATTAATTTATAAAAAAAATGTTCGCAACCAACAATACATATAAACTTCATTGGCACATTCAGAAATAAATACAAATGAACTGCGCAAGTCTGCACAGAATAGTGGGTCAGGCCACAGAATAATAAACAAATTGTTTATTATTCTGTGGTCAGGCTCTAGACCATCGAGCAATAAGACAAAAGAGGGAATGTAAAGGTAGAAGGGGTAAACATATTGATAGACAGGAAGTGCCATCTTGAGAGGCCACTTTAGACAAGGATAGAGAGTCTCTCTCCTTGTTTGACATCAAATTTAGTTGGGTTATGTTATTGTTTGTCCCAAATGTCACATGAAATCTTATTTATATTGAAGTTTTTAACAATTGTGTCGCATTTTAGACTCTTATCATTAATAATTAATTAAAACTTTCTCGTCTAAGACACATTTTGAAAAATATTATATAGCTACTGTTGATAAGTGTCGAAAAATTTAAATTTGGCGCCTTTGCATTTCCGGATGTGTCCGCCATCAGAGGCCACTTTTTTGGTCTCCTTTTTATAACGATTAGATTCCCTCTTTTGTCTTATTGCTCGATGCTCTAGACACTAGTTTCTGGTGGCTATATACCCACTACAGTACAAGACCAGAATTGTCAAATTAAAACATACCTAACCTCAAATCATTAACCTAGAAAAAATTATATTTTCCAAATATGAGTAATAATACAACTGAAAGAGCTCTCAATCTTCTTAGATATTTACCCAGAGTATGCATTGCAAATATTAGAGATAATCCTGGAGCTCGCAAGGTATGTACATTTTTGTTAACATAAAAGACATCCATTCCCTAGAGAGTCAGTTGAATAATCAATCCTATGATTATTTTAGTGTACTAGAAGAGGTAGGGCCCAACACGGTGGAGATTACCACGGGCATGGTAATAAAGGATCAAAGGCTAGGCAAAACTATACCCGACTTGGTTATGAAACTGGAAATAATCCATTTTACCTGCGTTTTCCATGGGAACCTTATTACAGAGGACACCAGTAAGTAATACCATTAAACTACATATTCTCATTTTTTAATTGTTTTGTGTAAAAATATGCATAGTTCCATATATTTATTGTTTGTTAATCATTTTGTGCCACTTCATTTATTTTCTTTCTAATTCCAATTAATATTTTTAGTTTAAAACGCCAATATCCACCTTTATCCATGTTGGATCTCCAAAAACTAATAGACACCAATCGTATAGATAGTACAAAGCCCATTGATTTAGTAGCAATCTTAAACACTGGCTTGTTTAAAATCTACCCAGATCAACATCATTTTGGAGTACAATTAACAGATGACGGTGCAGATATATTTGATGCCAAAATTAACCTTGAAGTCCAGTGGGCTACAGAACATGTTATAGCAGCAATCGAGAGAAAGGGTGGTGTTGTCACTTCTGCTTACTATGATCCACACAGTCTGCAGGCTATGGTTAACAGCAAGAAGTTTTTTGAGAGAGGTAATTACACAATTTTACAGTAAAAATGGTTCTGTATGTACAAATTTTATACATTTCACACTTGAGGTCCTTCTAAAAAGTTTGTACTATCTAAAATTTTGTTTAGTAGAATTAAGTATACATTTCATTTCCACAAATGGGGCCCAACATTAAGAAAACTATCTGCTGTTTTAACTCCAACAAATGGTTGGGTTCTGACACCTGTACCATAGCTAAATTTTTTAATGTGTTTTTTCTGGTGTCCAGTGTAGTCTTTTTGGTGTTTTTTCATGAAATATTTTAATGTGGAACCAGCTTAAAGGAAAATTTCTGTGTTTTCTACCAAATAAGATCTCTCCTAGTAGTGATACTTTTAAAAACTTGACCATAGCTCTGAAGATGGTTTTGCAAGAGAAAAGCGATCATCTAGGAAATAAATGTTTACACATTTGATTAAAAAAAACTATTTTACCAAAGCTATTAGCAATATTGGTATTTTTTACTAGTACATATAGTCATTTTGTTTTAAGGGGACAGTCTCATGTGATTAAAAAAAAGACACATTTTAAAATTAAAGCAGAAAAAAAACTATAGTATTTATTAACATAATTCCTTTTGGAGATGATTAAGTAAGTCTTGAAGTATATAAAAAAAAATGTTTTCCGCAAATCGCCAGGAAATTTTGACATTCCTGTCAAAATTTCTTGAAGAAAAAGTCAGGACTTCCTTACTGTATGGAAATGTCATTTCCTTACTGTAAGGAAATGATATTTCAGTACAGTTGTTAGTGTTCTACATAAGTTTGACAATTCAACCTCAATACGTTTCCATAGTAACCCAAGTAATTTTATTAGGAATTTCAAAGCACCATTTATTTGGGAATAAAATTATCGCGTTTTTTTTAAATCAATCAATATCTGTCGAATTTTAAACGATTTGCGGAAAAATAGTATGTTTACCTCGTAGGAAAAGCCACATTCCTGGACTCTGTGTTGCTAAGTCTCAGCTTGCGCCTCGACTTAGCAATCTTCACAGTCGTCCAGGAATGTTAAGCTTTTCCTACCCGGTAAACAATGTACTATTAATAGCGATTTTAACTTCATTGGTGTCCTGTAGATGGCGTGTAGTAAAAAGTGCGTTTTTGGTGGTAAGACACTTTGTGGGTCACCTGTAACAGATATTAAAAAAATTCAAAATGGGTTGTATTCGTGAGACTCAAAACTAGATGATAAACCTTTAAAATATGCAAATTGTATTATTTTGAAGAGTTTATACGAATTTTTTCAAAAAAGTCGAAAAATCGCTATGTTTTTCGGTGGATTTACCCATATATAATAAAAGGGGGGTGATTTTTAAATATTTTAAAGGTTTATCATCTAGTATTTTGTATATATATTCGAAAAAAATTTGGTTTTTTAAAATCGGTTAAGAAGGTTCGGAGAAAAGTGTCTGACCAGTTTGAAAATGTTACTTTTGAGAAAAAAGCATTTAAAGTTTTTTTTACATAATTTTCGTGTATAAAAGGCTGATAACTTTATACTCACGTTTAATCGGCTACTCCTGGTGAATATTGAGGACCCTCTTCATCCAACAGTTGTTGTAAATGGCTTTGTAAAGCTGTAAATTTCAATACAACGTCGCGATGTTTTATAATTAATTCATTTGTTTGACTGGAGTCTCAATTCACGCCGCGATTCTGCCAGTGTAAGTGTAAAAACGGAACACACCTAGATCGCATGTCACTGTCAATTCAACGAAAACGTACTTATTTATAAATGTAGATATGAAAATATTTTATAACTAAAAAAATGGTTATGTTTTATTGCCAAAACGGCTTGAAAAAAAAGTTGATTTCTAAAATTAAAAATAAAAAGGAATTTTAAAAATAAAATAATTATATTACACTCTTTTTAATTTGAAATTATAAACAATATTTGGAATAATAAATGTATTTAAGTATAAATTTTATAACTCAAATAATACCTAATGAACACAAACAAAATTGATGTTAATAAAACATTATTTATTATCTGCACAAAACCGGACTTTCAGGAAAAATCGGTAGACGGAGCAACACTGTCGGCGTGCCATATACGCTACTATAAACCGCTGAGGAGAAGTAATCCAGTGGAACAAATAAATTAGTTGTATTAGTTGTAAAACATCGCGACGTTGTAAAGAAATTTACACTGGTTAATTGCAACGCAGAGAATCTTAGTATTTGTAAAAAATCCTATGTTCCGGATTTAAAATTCCAAATGTGTATAGTAATAGTAACTGCCAAACGTTATACAGATATACATACTATATAAAAATGAATCACTAATACATACCCAACGTATATACAACATATCTACAAAAGCAAGAACAGCTGGAGCCTCGCGCTCGCCGCGCGGAGAGAAACCGGTTTTCATACGTGCGTAGATGACTTTAATAAAATAACTATAACTTATATTCTAGTGAAAATTTCTTTTTAAAATTTTAGGAGGGAGTTTTTGAATGTAAATGGAAGGGATTTATAAAAAAAAATAAAATAGATTTTTTGAAAGTTTCGCATGAGACTGTCCCCTTAATCCATGAACTATTGGTTTTCATATCATTTTTCAACCCAATTACAAGTCTAAATTAAAAAAAAAATATGTGGTATACTACTAGAAGTTTAGAAATCTTTGTTTTTAGATCCAAACTCAGATTTATTCTTCATTGCTAAATTATACACCAAACAAATATGTAAAAGTGATTTCTTGTGAAGTCCTTACTTAGTTTTTCTTTTATTTTAGGTATTCCAATACCCCGAAGAATGATGCCTCCTCCAGACGCCATAGAACATTACTCAGATCCTGCAAAGAGGGGATATTTGGCAGATCCCGAAAAGATATCCCAAGAGCGTCTAGTTCTAGCACAGAAATACGGATACACCTTACCAAAAATAGAAGAAGATCCTCTATATGATATGTTAATGGAAAGGAAAGATCCTAGGCAGATATTCTATGGTCTACATCCAGGATGGGTGGTCAATTTGAGAGATAAAATTATACTTAAACCTTTGGAAGAGGAGTTACAGGAATATTATGCTTCATAGTGTAGTGGTAAATAAATAAATTAGTATGATAAAATTTTGACAATTGTTTTACTTTTTTATTTGAATTAGTAGAAATTGGACAATATTAGAGTTAAGTAGCAAGTCATTTTCTATATTATTTCATATTTTGGGTCCTTGATTAACTCTGTACTTACATTGTTATTGTTATTATTGTTATTTGTATTGTTATTTCCATTGTTATTTCTTATACACCACTTGCTTTTCTTATGCCTTTATATTTTACATGACAACTGACTGTTATCTTGAATACTTTTGGATATTCTTCTTTAATATTAATTTATTCTCTTAATAATCAGTAGAGAATCTTTGTGCTCACTAAATCGTCCTTATGATCATAAGTTAATGTTTCTGTGAGTCATAAAAACTCATTCTCTTGTGCACAATTCTTAAGTTTTATTCTCAAATAAGCAGAAATTGTGAATATATGTGCTTGTGGTCATAAAGATTGTTTGAAAGGAACTTGTACCTCTCATATTTCCTTTTTTAAGCTTGTCTTTACTGCTTGTTCAAGAAAATATAAAGGGTTATGAGCAATTACAGCATCTTGGAGCCGTTTCCTAAATATTTAATTGCCTTCCATAGAGGAACAACTTTCCAGTTGATTTAAATCTTCAACATTAAATATGTTCACAATTAATAAGAACACCGTCGGTCAGATAGCTCAGCGGGCTGTGCGGCTGCCTCTCATTCGCTTCACTGTCGAATGGTTTAGTGGATGTGGGATTGAGCCCAAGCTCGGTGTACAGAAAACAAAAAGTCTAACGCAGCAGTTTTAAAATTCTAGATGAATCTGCGGCTTAGACTAGGATATGCTGGGATCTGATCGGCCTATGGTGGAGCAGTACGGCAAGAGATAAGGGCTTGCGTCTCGGTGATACTCCTCCATAGATCCTACCGGACAGGCGTAACGCCTAAAAAACCGGATATATAATTATATATATATATTATATATATATATATATATTATATATATAATATATTATATATATATATATAAATATATATATATTATATATATATATATATATATAATAAGAACACCAACTCTCCTGTCATTCTGATTTCTTTGTCTCGAGTAAAACCCCTTTGGTTCTGTTAATGAGCATTTCTTAAACCTAAATTGCTCAAATCATTTCATTTGTCCTTTTTCTTCAATGATATGGAAAAGAAGATAGTATTCTTGGGAAAATTACTTAAAATGTTGATTAAATCGTAATATTTCTTTATAACATTTTATGGAATATTTACTTTCTCGTTTTACCAAAAACAACCGCCAAGATTTTGTTTCTTTCTCAATTATAATTATTTTTCTTAAAATAAATACTAATCTAGGCAATCTCAATTATACATAAGTGCAATAATGGTTGCCTATATTCCAATATTTATAAATGTCAGAATAATTTTAAATGATTAGCTAGTATATAATTATTATCAAATGCATATCTTCAATTTAATAATTTAAAAGCGAATAAAATTATTAGCTATGCAGTTGTAATATGTGGATTTTTGTTGCATTAAAGATCTGATTATTTTAATTCTGTAATTATCTCCGCCCATGACTTTTTTAGTTTGCCCTTTCTGAAGTAGCTGACAGCGTAACGAAACGGGAGATTGAGGAACTAAAACTGAATCTGTCTATACAACCAAGCGACCGGGTTACTTTTGTCCTGCAATTATAGGTTTGCACTTGTAAATATATGCGAAGAAATGTAATATAACAGCTTTATATTTGTTTCTTATCTGTCAGGACATATTTGAGACTGATTTTGTCCTCTGTGCTTCTTAATGCTTCTGATTATTATCAATTACATTTCTTTTACCTATAAAAGAGTGACATTTTTTACACCTTAACAAACTTGCTATCGCTCAATGGGAGTAAACTTGGGTGCGATATTTCTACGAGTGGATTTTTCACGCATCTTGCCTAAATGTTATAAAAACATATTCCAAGCAGATATCTTAGTATAGCTTTCTTATGTCCAATAATTAACTTTTTATTCTCAAATGAACTGAAACTGAAAATATGTTAGAATGGTCATAGAAATTAGCACCAAGGACATTGTATCTACTCCTTACTTTACTGTACTTACTTCTTGTTCAAGAAAATTATAAAAGGCATGGTCACAGAATAAAATTACGGTATGTAAAAACTGCTCATTGAATATTTAATTCTTCAGAAGATACCTGGAAGAACAACTTATTTACAATATATTAATTAATATCTTCAATATAAGAACAAATAATCTTTTTATTCACGTGCAAGTGAACAATTCATTCGACTGCGTCGTGTATGTTATTCTAATTTCTTTAAATCTCATAAAATTAATTTGGTTTTGTTTCTGAGATGTTCTTGAACAATAAATTGTCCACAGGAGGTATGTTGCAATGTGGCTTTTTATTAAGAATTGTACTTTCCTGTTCATTTCTTATATATCTTGATAATTTTATAAATATACAATTGCTTTGAACATTCGTATTTTACTTAAATTGTTTATAAATTTGTATTTGTAATACTTCCTTGGAATTATTTTTCCTTATAATAACCAATTTAAGCAATCAAAATACACACTTCTGTAATACTGGTTGTCTAATCTGGTCATTGGTAAATATTGTAGTTTTAAAATTGTATACATATATAAATAGTATATATTATTATGAATTACACATCTTCAATTCGAAAACGAAAATATTTCGAGCAGTCCAGTCGTGGTACCAGAATTTTTGTTGCTTAAAGATCTATTTATTTTAACTTGTTTAACATATCTCCGCCCATGGCTGTCTGTTAGAAATCGATTGTACTCGGAAGTGACAGACAGCGCACTGAGGTGATTATTAAACGGTAACCCGAGGAACTAAAATTGAGAGTGTCTATATAACCAAACGGTCGGCTTAATTCGATATATCCAGAGATATGTAGCCCAACAGTTTTATTGTTCTTTGTTTCCTTATAATTTATTTGAGCCTAATTTTGTATCCATATTTTGATATATATTCATATTCGCTTTTGAATTGACCGATACAAAAATTTAAAAATGTTTTGGATCAACGCATTGTTATGCATTCCTTGAGATGTAATGGGATAATCAGAAGAAATTGTAGTCTAAAATGCTACAAAAAACTAGAGCTTTGACGAATTTCCTTATACATTTTATACAAGAATAACTATTTTTTAATCCTCATTTCTAATTTCTTTTACTTTATTTACAGGTACAGATGCAGCAGACGATTAGAAAGAACGTCGTGGCTGGACCATAAGCTGGATAAAATTTTACAAAAATATATTGTACCAAAACCATCTTAAAAATATGCAATTTAACATCTAAGTGTTACTTATTATAATAGTATTTGTAGGTTCTTAATAAATTGTAAAATGAAATAGATGGTATTATTTTCCTAAAAATATCGTTCAACTTTTCAGACAGTAAAAATCTCGAAAGTACTCCTAAATAAAGATACTCTGCAACAAATTAGTACAAAAATTATTTAAATGTAACCGAAAATTCATAAATTGGGCCCCCCGATAGATGGAGCCACTTAAGTTTTGCACGGGAGTCGTGCCTTTTTGGTACCTAACAAAATTATTAAAAAGGTGAGAAAACAAAGGGCGGGGGGGTTAACACCGAATTAGACTTCCCAGTCTTTCTTTTTGTGTGAAAATATAGTCTCTTGTTGAGATTTATTAGAAAAACAACTGACCTACCCCTCTTATACTCAGTCAGATACTGACTCTCCATCCGATACTTGATCCTAAGTGATTTATTGCAAGATTCCGTTGAGTTTATTGAAGTGGCGGCATCTTTTAGCAGATGTTACTACTAGTTTGAGGGGACATATTTTCAGAGTTTTGTTTTCGTGATACTTGAGAAACTGATTAGGTATTGCCTACATTTAGGCGTGAATTAGACTTCCAGTCTTTCTTTTTGTGTGAAAATATAGTCTCTTGTTGAGATTTATTAGAAAAACAACTGACCTACCCCTCTTATACTCAGTCAGATACTGAAGCTCTCCATCCGATACTTGATCCTAAGTGATTTATTGCAAGATTCCGTTGAGTTTATTGAAGTGGCGGCATCTTTTAGCAGATGTTACTACTAGTTTGAGGGGACATATTTTCAGAGTTTTTTTTTCGTGATACACAGTAAACACCGAATTAGACTTCCAGTCTTTCTTTTTGTGTGGGAAGATTTACTTTGTCATTTTCGATTTGAAAATATAGTCTCTTGTTGAGATTTATTAGAAAAACAACTGACCTACCCCTCTTATACTCAGTCAGATACTGAAGCTCTCCATCCGATACTTGATCCTAAGTGATTTATTGCAAGATTCCGTTGAGTTTATTGAAGTGGCGGCATCTTTTAGCAGATGTTACTACTAGTTTGAGGGGACATATTTTCAGAGTTTTGTTTTCGTGATACTTGAGAAACTAATTAAGTATTGCCTAAATTTAGGCGTTTTTGATTGAATTGTGTTATTTCATGTCTACTTTCTTTAAGTTGTTATGAAAAATAAAACACACCAAACCACAAGTGAGTCTCTCTTTTTGCAGGAGAAGATTTACTTTGTTTTAGTTCCATCTTTTAGTAAAAATTGCAACTAAAATTTGAGGGGACAATATTGACTTTTCAAAGGATTCGGTTTTCTTGATACCTGACAATTAAGTATTGCCTAAATTTAGGCGTTTTTGGTCGGTAATTTCTTATCTATTTTCTTTAAGAAGCTTGTAAGTTATGGAAAATAAAACAAATTATTTACTGTAATTTATATTATTTTATCTTTATAAGACAACACCCTAATATGGGTTTTATTATTTCAGCATTTAATTAACTTTGTATCGACAGACCTGAAGATGCTTTGCAAATTGTAGAAAGCGAAACCGGTCGTCTAGATAGTTAAATTAAACTGATTGTAAGTCTTATTTATTATTTCTTTTACCTATTTGAAATGGACTCACACAAGCAACACATTCATGATTTACGTTAAAAACATTAATTTTAATTCATGTCTGTGGAAACGAAAATACAAATAATACAACCCTGAATCGTGCTTGTGTTTGTCGTGGCATTGCTGCGCTTCTATCGCTCATAAGAAATACATGGTTCTATCTCCGCAATGTTATTTTCTTAACATGGAACGCTCTATAACAATTTTAAGATTAGTTGAAACACATAAAAAATGTACATTTAGATAACTGAGTTTCTTTTATATATAAAATGAGTTTTTTATACATAAAATAAAGTGTAAGGAGCACATACATGATAGATCAATTTTAAATTAAATACACTGCAGAATATTGCAGTAGATGTTACTTAATTGATTGGTGACTGCTTTATAATTTAATGTTTCCCTTTTGAAACAATTCCACCTCTGTAAGTACTCACGTAATTTTAATGTGTCTTTGTTTTAATAAATTGTGCTTATTCCTATAAAGCTCAGTTGGCCAAATATTAGGTTGACAAAAAAATATAATTGCTTCACATTTCCCCACTGACAATGTCAGTGGTATAGTCTGGTTTTATTTCAATTATTTTACACTAACTTACAAAATACTGAACAAAATATGACAATTTTACAACACATTTAGTCTTTTAGTTTGAGGTTAGAGTTGCATTCATTCACTTTACATTTTGTGTTACATAAAAAAGTTTGTATACAAAAATGCATAGTGAAACTTCTGACGATAAACCTGAAATAAAAAGAAAACATGGTATTACTAATGAAGTAAAATATACACGTAATATAATATGAAAATCAAGAGTAAGTGGTGAGGAATGCACAACTATAAAGGTTATGTTGTTCCAAATAAATCTGTTCATGATAACCTAATATGCAAATGTCCACGGAAATGTTATTTTTTATCTATTGATATTGAGATTAAAAATCAGATCTGGAAAGCTTTTTACTCTATAGATAACAGAAACGAGTAAGATTTATAAATGCAGACCTTAATAGAAGCTACTGAAATAAAGCGTAGAGTGAACAAAAATCCAAATCAAGATGATAGGCCTAACTTAGGCCCAGATAAAACTCCAACCTCACGAATAAAAAATAAGTCTTTTGTATATAACATAAAAATAAATGGTATTATTAGAGTAACGACATATCCTGGTGCAGATATCGGTTCAGACCATAACCCTGTAATATCTGACATCAAAGTGAAGCTCAAAAAAGTCCAAGAAAGCCCCAAAACTCCAAAAATTAAATATCTCAATATCCAACAAAACGTTAATAGAAAATGACTGAATGAGCTAAAGAAATCAATAAATGAAAACAACACAGAAATATGGAACACATTTAAAGATCTTACCTTGAAAGTAATAGAAAAATATTCAACAACGTTACACAGGCACAAAAAACAACAATGGATGACTGATGAAATCCTGGAATTAATGGAGCAGAGAAGGAAACTGAAAGGTAACAAGACAGAATATAAGGAAAAACAGAAACTAATTAAACAAAAAATAAAGGTGGCTAAAGAAAAATGGATGGAGGATAAATGCAAGGAATTAGAAAAGTTGAATGAAAAACATGATACGTTTAATATGTTTAAAAAAGTTAGAGAAGTAGCTGGTCTTTATCATAAGAAAACTCCACATACTATAACCGATTCGTCGGGAAAAATGATAATAGACGAACATGAAATTCGAACAACCTGGTGTAATTATATAAGTGAACTGTATAATGATGATAGACCCGAAGAACTGGAGACTTTAGTTGAAGGTGAAGGACCAGAAATACTAAAATCAGAAATACTGCATGCTATAAAGTTAGCAAAGAACAAGAAAGCCGTTGGCCCTGATAACATACCGACAGAGATGTTAAAGCTTATAAATGAGGAGAACATTGGAATACTGGTCAAACTTTTCAATGATGTTTATTCGACTGGTGATATCCCTGAAGATTGGTTAAAGTCCGAATTCATAACACTACCAAAAAAAACAACGTCCGAAAAACTGTAGCGATTATAGAATGATAAGCCTTATGAGCCACACTTTGAAAATATTTCTACGCATCATCCACAGTAGAATCAGAGATAAATGTGAAGAAGATCAGGATGAAACACAATTTGGCTTCAGAAATGGACTGGGAACTCGGGACGCCCTCTTTGCACTAAATGTATTACTGCAGAAATGTCGAGATCAAAGGAAAGACGTCTTTGCTGTATTTATTGACTATGAAAAGGCCTTTGATCGAGTACAGCATCACAAATTAATTACAATATTAAAAGATAAAGGAGTTGATAGTCAAGACATACGATTCATAGAAAAGTTATACTGGCGTCAAACAGCGACAGCTTGCATAAACGGAAAATCAACAGAAATATGTAAAATACAAAGAGGTGTCAGACAGGGTTGTATACTATCCCCACTGTTATTTAATTTATATTCAGATAGAATATTTAAAGAAGCGCTGCATAATTTGGAATGGGGCGTGAAAGTTAATGGAATTCTGATAAATACAATCAGATATGCAGACGATACAGTTATTTTAAGTGATGACATGAATGGATTACAATGCCTTTTAAATGCCATTGATAAAGTGGGAAGAGAGTTTGGCCTAAACATAAACTGTTCAAAAACAAAACACATGGTGTTTAGCCGTTTAGCACATCAAGATGCACGATTATATGTTGATGGTCATATAATTCAAAGAGTGTCCAGTTTTAAATATCTTGGTTGCCATATTACTGAACAACTAGATCCAGATCAAGAGATAAAATGTAGAATCGAGATAGCCCGCACGACATTTTTAAAAATGAGGTCATTCTTCTGTAATGATAACTTGCAACTTCAACTTCGAAAGCGCATGGTTAAATGCTACATTTGGTCAGTCCTCTTATACGGTGTCGAAGCATGGACATTAAAAATATCCACGATTAATCGTCTGGAGGCCTTTGAGATGTGGCTGCACAGACGTATACTAAAAATTCCATGGACGGCTATGCTGACAAATGTGGCAGTCCTTGAAAGAGCAAATGCTGCTCGCGAGCTGCTTGATAACATCAAATGTAGAAGATGGCCTATTTTGGACACGTAGTAAGGGGAGACCGATATAATATTCTTCAACTTATTATGATGGGTAAAATCGAAGGACGCAGAGGAATTGGTAGAAAGCAGGCCTCTTGGTTGAAGAATATCTGGGAGTGGACAGGAATAAAGAAAGCTGAGCAACTATTTAGAATAGCTCGAGACAGAGACAGTTTCGCCATGTTAATCGCCAACGTCAAGGGGACTTGATAGGGCACGTTAAGAAGAAGAAGAATATCTAAATGGGGAGTTAAAGATACTAAGTAGTATCAAAATAAATACCTATAAATGTCTCACAATCTGTAACATAAGTACATAATGAAAATGGATCATTGTTTCTAA